GCGCCGCCCTCGCCGCCGCCGGTCGACGACGCCAGCGACGCCTCGCTCTGGGGTTGGAGGAGGAGGGGGTGGTTTTGTTTGAGGGGGGGGAGGGGGCGGCGTCGTGAGTTTCGAAGGGGTGTGGGCTTGAGGCGAGGCGCCGCTGCGGGTGTGTCGGCCGCGGGTTTGATGTGCATGCCTGGGTCCACCGGGTTTTGACTGCAGGCCCCATGCGCCAGCTGCACGTGCAGCCCGCATGGCAGGGCTGTGTGCTGGAATATAATTGGACATCGGGCTCTCACCGCGCTATGGTGGAACGTGAGCATCGCGACAGCAGCAGCAAAGACCGCTAGCAACAGTAGCGCCGCCGAGCTGCGGGCGCGCGGCGCCGGACGAGCGGGCCGCGGCCGCTTGCGACCGGTTGGTTCCACACTGATGACTGTGACAGCAATCAGCGCGCCAGTTTAGTCGCGACACTCAGGCACGTGCAGGCGTGGTCGACAGCACGGTCCAAGTGATCTAAATGCAGACGCCAGCCTCCCGAGAAATGCCTGAAATCTCAAGTCGCTTCAGGCTACTACGTTATGCGCCCCTGGACTGGTCCGCGTGGATGTCATGTGGGGAAGAGCTGTCACCCGAGTCACCCGATTGCGGTGAGGCCGCACGGGAAGGTGTCCAGCACACGAGTTCCGGTCAATCCTCATGTGAGCAGCAGGGCCATTTTGCTGCTTGACTTGTACCCCATTATGAGTCGACTTCTTCACTAGGCGTCGCCTTTTAACTGCCGTTCGGCACTTTCTTGCCCATGTGGACGCATTGCTTGCACGACATGACTGTGGCCTGCCTGTGTACTTGCAGTCGATGACCCTGATCATTCACATGCACAAGTAAGGTCCTGTTTAGTAAGGTTTCAGTGGCCATCAGCAAAGGGTGCAAGGCGGCAGTCAGCCAAGTTGAGCTGAAGACGTGAAGAGGGTCAATGTCCCTGTGAAGGCTTCTTGCTGTGTTCCAACCGTCGAAGGGCCAAGTATTTGCGTTGCTTGCCAAAATCACGTACGGTAACCTCGCAGTTCAACAGAGCACCTGTACACTGGAGGAAATTTGCGTCCGGTGGCATGGAGCTCCGGCACAAATGACACATGTGACGTTACGTGGCTACTCGTCGCACACGGTTGTTCCCATGACACAGCAGGTTGGGTTGACCTGAGGGACGATGATACACACCTAAAATTCATTTGAAACAGGCGATGCTCAAAGCATAGAGGCCACGCCCGACCAGGATCTTGTGCAGGGTGAGGACTGCGAGCTGGTGAGCACTTGTGGACACGTAGCGCCAGGCTCCAGTCGCGGAGGGCAAAGCGCGACTTCAACCTATCTAGAGTGCAACGGCAAATCAAGACAGCAGGCGGTGCACGATATCCACACCAAACCAGAGCGCTGGTTGGCAACCAGCAAATAAGCAACGTGCGCCAAGGGGTTTCCTAGGACCCATGGTTGACATGGCCCCCACAACAAGCAGCGGCATGGGTTGTTTTGCACCACTAGAGCGCCTGCGGCCACCAGCCAAAACAACAAAGGGTTCCATTGGCCCAAAACCATCGGAGCTGGCCCCGGCCACGATCTCAGCAGCCGGCGCGCAAGGCCATGTCACCGACGGCGAAGCCCCAAATTGCGATGGTGCGCCTGGGTGGCGCAGGGTCACTGCACTCCACGTTGTTCCAACAGCGACAGGCCGCCGCGCTGCCTGTGGCTGCACGTGTGTTTTGCGCAGCAGCCGGCTCTGAGCGCTGCCGCTGGCTGGCGGCCACTGTGGGCGCCCTTGCGTGTGTACTAGCTGCTGCTGGCGCGGCTGGTGTCGCTGCACCAAAATCTTGTGTGCCCTGTACAGGCGCTGCTTCTGCGATGTGCTGCAGGATCATCAACTGCTGGTGACACAACCCTGGCTGAGACCCCCAGCTGCCATTGCTGGGAGCTCCCATCGCCGCAGACAGCGGCCGCGCGAGCCCCGTCAGCAGCAGCGTGGCCGCCAGCACGAGCGCCACCACCGGCGAGGACCGTCTACGGCCAAGGGGCATTGGCTCCTCAAAGCTGTAGTGTGCGTAGGACTCAAAGGGCGATGTGCGGCTGTCATCGACGGCACCCCGGCAGCCGATCATCATCGCTACGATGATGACACCAGCACAGGGCGAAGCTAGTCGTCGGCGGCCAGCCGCGCGCAACCGTCAGTGCACTGATGTACCGTACGTAGGATCGCCGACAAACTCTGAGTGCCGCTTTGATTTGCTAATTTTGAGACAGATGGCGGAGCGTGTGAACAGCGCGCTGATCCCGCCGGACGCGCCAAAACACCCGATCGTGAACCTGAAAGTAGGGGTTCTTGTGCGTTCAATTACAATCGGTGCTTGCAGACGGTATGGAGGGTTTGATTGAATGTGCGGCAGTGGCGACGTACCTGCCTGATGGCCACGGCCCAGGGTAACCACGCACTCGACTGACTGAGTCACCGCCCAGCCATGCGGTTGTTGCCATCTCATGTCTGAAAGCCACCCGGAGGCAGCTGTGTACACAATCACCATGCAGTGCAGCACCTGCTGGTGTGTTCCCCTTTATCAAGTGGCATGGCCGCCTTAGAATGTGTGGGGCGTCACTCAATTGACACGACAATCACGTTGGATGCATGCCCTGAGTGAGAGCCAGCCACATGCTTTTAGATTTTACAAAATGGTTCTGCATCAGAACGCCGCCATCTTGCTCTTTGTGCATGCCGGCTGCCGCCCTGGCGCTTCATGGATGCAAGGCGCAACGGCAGCCATTCACAGCGGCATCAGGGCACGCGCAGGGCGCCCTGCTGCAGGTCGATGGCATGCCCGTTTCAAAACTTCAAGCATCACATTCTAATCTACACCATGTACACACTCGCTGGCCGCGCCCTTGCCTCCACCTACTCAGCTGCCGCCTTTGCTGCTGCCGCCTCGTGCCGCGCAATCGCACGCTCTGCCGCCGCAAACGCCTCACGCACGCCGACAGCCAGGCCGCCGAACCCGGGGTGTGCCCTGGCCGCCTCCGCCAGCCTCCGCGCCGCCGCACAGGGGAATGCCGCCGCCGCCGCGGCTGCCGCCGCTGCCAGCCCCGTGTCGGCGACTCCGCCCGTTCCCCTGCCCCGCGCGCCGCCACCACTCCGCCCCCGCCCTCCGCCCGCCTG